GCTCTGGAGGTCAAGTAGCTCTTCACTCATGTTCATGTCATTGTCCACTCCTCTCAAAAAAATCAGTAACTGAGCGGTGTCAGATGCATCCATGCTTTCGTCTCAGGCTAACGAAAAAAAGTCAAACTCCACTCCTTTTGCCTCTAACTATCTCTTAATATCAGATGAAACGTCTTCATTTCTCCATACCGCAGTGTTATGAGCCAGGCAAACATTGGCAAACTCTTGCTTCTTCTCAGGACAAATTTTCTCCACCATTTTCATCATGCAGTCTTTAATAAATTCACCCTCAGTTTGCAGTGCTTGGCAATCAGCGTTGCCACCTCGTAGCTCGCCTTTGTGGCATTTTCATTTGACTCACGGGCTCTTGTGAAAAAGCGCTGCTGTGCCGTTAAAGCAGCTTCCAGTTCCTTCAATTTTTCGCTGCATTCGTTCCCAGTTAGCTTGTTGTAGTTAGCATGTTTCGTCTGGTAGTGCCTCTTGATATTGAATTCCTTGAAAACAGCCACAGTCTCTTGGCAAATTAGGCAGAACAGTTGTTTCGTATTTCAGTGAAAAAATACTCCAGTTTCCACTTGTCCTTCCCAATTTCCCTTGCTGTCAACTTTCCTTTTTTTAGTTACAGTCGCCATTTTAGAAATGGGCACACAAGCCTTGTGTCACAAGGGTCATGCGGTGAGAGTGCTGACTCAAGTCTACTGCCATCTTCTGGTGAAATATAACCACCAGCCTTGAAGGAGCAGGAGGCAGCAGGGGACAGCTGCGGGAACCGCTGTGCAGTGAAGGGAAAAATGCCAGCCGGAGGGGATGAGTGACAGGCTGAGCTGGTGGGGAGAAGAGGCTGCGGGCTGCTCGAAATTGAAAATGGGCTGCAGTTGGCCCCCGGGCTGGACTTTGGACATGCCTGCTTTAACGGCTGCTTCTGTACGGCCTTCAATACATTGTCTCTTATGGACCTTAGAGCAAATTTGACATGAACTTCTCTTGGAAGTTTATTTTTTCTGGTATATGTGGAGTTGACCCTAAAAACAAGGTCAATTCCCATACCCATGACCTCATTTTCGATTTCTAAAAGCTCCGCCAACATGTCAGTTATAAGCTCTTGTAGGTCTTCATTTTTCTCCTCAGGTATATTCTGAAATCTTAGATAATAAGATGCCTTCTCCATCTCTAATGCAGCAGTTGAATCCCATGTTGACTTACTTGTTTGCTTAATTAAGTATATTTCTTCATCTACTGTCTCCAATTTTTCACATACTTGTTGCATTTTTTGTGTATTCTGTTCCGCTTTAAGTCGAACATCAGATAGTTGAGTTGTCACCTCTTTAATAGAACTATCCAATTTATTGAGTCGTTCTTTTTGCTCCTTTGATAAGCTTTCCAGCCGTGTTGACACAGTTGTTAAAGCCGCTTGTATTGCCAAAATCGTCATTTGCAACTCTCTTAAACTTTTTGCAACATCTTCTGTCTTAGGCTGATGAATTGGACTTTGACCAACTGGGGAGGGTGCTGAAGAGGGCTGAGTTTTCCTCATAATGAAAGTTGTTCACCAAAGAAGTTTCAATATACCAAAAAAAAAAAAAAGGAGGGGAGAAAAAATATAAATTGAATAAATCAGTAAAAAAAAGAAGAAAAAAATGGAAATGACTTGCAATAATTCCAATAGCCACCGGGGGGTGGGCAGCAAAAGACTATTTAAAAAAAAGGAAAGAATGTCATCAGTGTCTTCTGGCAGAAGTCCCAGAAGGAATGGAAACTAGCCAAAAATGGCTGCTAGCTTAATTCCCCAATAGATGTTATTTACTTCTTCAAAGGGGACTTTTCCTTCTTCTTTATGCCGAATAATAACAGATATAGTTTTTCCACAAGTAATATTGCAAAAAGAAAGTAAAAATGCTCACCAGAAAGTCATCACAGCAGAGAGAAAAACACCACACAACACAAAAATTATCCTGGCAGATGTCCAGTTAATCTTGGCAGAAGTCCAAGCAATTATCCAAAATGATCCTTCTGCATTTTACTGTTCTATCATTTAATTTCCACAGCAGTCATTCATCTTAATTTTCGCCCTTAGAGAGATTAGAAGAAAAATCTTTTTCTTCGGCTTCGACTCAGATAAAAGTCTTCCTTTCTCCCCTCTTTCAGTCGCCGCTTAAAGACTTCGGGAGAGATTTATTTTTTTCTTTTTTCTGAAGTCAGTTATAAACAAATGCAGCTTTTCCATGGGTAGTATTACAAAAAGAAATAAGAAATAAGAATGCTTACCAGCCGTCCGATGTTTATCTGGCTAAAATAAGCTAATTAATCCATCAGATGTCGAGAACTTTCAGGGGCTAAAAAAAAAAAAAAAAAAACCCCTGTGTTGCCTGGTTGAGAAATGCCTGTATTTCTCCCAGTGGATATGGGATTGCCATCCCGCACCAACTAAAAGAATATCAGGCAATCTATCTTCGCCCTGACAGGGCTTAGATGCGTCTCCCATGACTCACTGCCGAGCAATACCGGCGTGATAACAGAGCTCCGTTAATCACAGCCATCTCGTTCCGATGCCATCTTGAATCTCCTCTTACAGTGCAATTTTGTGGATGCCTACTCAAAAGTCAGCCCCCACTGAGTTCAAGGGGACATGGTCTGTTGTAAATGTCTGAAGGTTTTCAGTCCTAGTCACTGGTACTAGCTCATCATTTCAGATTCTGCTTATTAAAATAACAATGCTAATATTCAGCATTTATGAAACATTTGCCTTATTCTTTTATTATTTCATTTCATATGAATTTACTATGTTTGGAAATGCTCATCCAACTTGGAACATAATTTCTTTGGTGCTAATAATATTTCAGGTTAGTATGACATTTGTCATTCTTGTACAAAGGTGCAACAGTATGTATTGTGCTTACTATGTTTACTCTCAAAATACCTAGTAGTGCATCAGTTTGAAGGCAGTAGTTCTTTATGGTGCCTGGGTAATTGGCCATAGGAACAGGAAACTTGGATATTTTTTCCTGTGATAGCATTATAATTATATAATTACAAACACTCATGGAAATATTTTCCATATTTCCAAATATTTTTCCATGCTGGTAGAATATTTTTAGAAATATTCTGACATCTGGAAATGAGTACTTTCAATAATGCATGCTCATTATTCAAGCCAGAACAGGATGAATGGGATTGCCTGATACTTTTGTAGTTTAGGTGCTTCATGGATGTTGGGTATTAGATAACAGATACAGCATGTTTCAGCATTACACAGGATACACAGTTGAAGTTAGCAGTCCAATACTGCTCTATATTCTGCACGAATAGCAATTGGATTCATAATTTTGAAGAGGAAACTGATCTAAGAACATAAGAAGGGCAATACTGGATCTATTTAGAGGTATCTTTAGTTCAACAGTCAGTTTACAGAGTGGTCAACCAGTTTCCTCTGTTGACCACACAAGTAGGACATGTGAGCAAGAGCACCCTCTGCTCATGTTCCCCAGCAATTGGTGTGCCATCCAATGTTGGTGTGAATTCTATAGTTTAACTATGCACACTGTATGGGAAAAAATCCTTTAACCTCCCAGCAATCAACTCCATGAGATAACCCATGAGTTATCTTTCTTGTATTATCACAGAAGGAGAAAAAACGTTTCCCTATTAGCCTTCCCCACACTATGTACAGTTTTGTACATTTCCCCCCGTTGCATCTTTAAGCTAATGTTATAATCATTTCTCATAGGGAGTTGCTTCAGCCCCTATATTACTTTAGGGTGCAATATTTGAAGGTTCCGATACCCAAGAGCAGGATTAAGCAACTTTTGGCCTACAACTACCATGATCCCTCACCATTGATTATGCTGATAGGAACCACAGCCAAAATATCTAGAAGGCCAAAAATTGCCTGCCTATGCTCTACACAGATCTAGTTTAGCGTGTTTATTTTTCTTGTATTTAGTAAACAAAGCAAAGCAAAAACAACATAAAACAAAAGCCAAAAAAGAATGCCTTATGCTTTTTAAAAAATAACTTAAATACCATAAAAATTTGACCTGAAATATTTGAGGGAAGGGGAAATCAAAGTGTTGTGCCTTGCAAGGAGACTGAGGCACTGCCAGGATACCTTGTACCATGACATTGCTGATCTCCTCCCCTCCCCATCCCTGGAATGCTCACTCAGCTGCTTCTCTGAGTTGGCACTTGTGACTTAAGAGAAACAACCAGTATGCTTCTGGCTGTAAAGTAGGAAGGAGCTTTCTCCAAGCTTGAAGTCCCAAGTCTGACTTTAGAGCACATTTCCATGGACAAAGCAAGGACTCCAAATAATTGAAAACCATTTAGAAATGTTATATAGAAATGTTTCTTAAAATAGTTGTAAAGATTTAAATATAAAACAATGTACTTCCCTTGCATTGTTTAAATTTAAGGGGGGAAAGCAATAAATTGAAAACTTTTGACACAGTAATTCATTTTAATAATCTACAGAAATGTCAATGATGTGGTGACAGCTGCTTTTCTTTTTCAACAGAATTCAACTCTCTTTCATCCCATTGTTGGGGCAATTTCAGGTTTGCTGTCACTACTTGTCATTTCCATTTTATTTCTACGCACATGTATTTCAATGACATATATGTATTCTGTCACATGTGTTAATTTCCTGAAAAACATTACTTATGCCTTTGAGATCACCAGGCTAGCCTAGACTGGCATGCATTAGTTCATTAGCTTTTTTTACTAATGAACTTTTGAAATGGAACAGTGTTCATGGAAAAATAAAATATTTTCACCCCACACTACTCCTATGGATAGTAAAGAGTAAAAGTCTTCACCAGTTTTACAAGGCTCTGTATGATAGAATACAAAATATTTAATACTATTAGAATAGAGAATTAATTCTATCTTGACTCAGTAGCTGTATTTGACACTGTCTACAATTGCTTCTGCTACTTCCTGCTAATCTGAAGGCCATGATTATATTGAAGCAAAACCAAAGATCTTGTGTTCTGTACTTTGAACAGGTTATGAGGTGCATGGGATGGATAAAATACCAGAAGGACCAGGACTTGTCGTATTTTACCATGGAGCTTTCCCTCTAGACTATTACTACTTCGTATCTAGACTTCATTTACAAACAGGCAGATTCTGTCACACAGTGGTTGATTACCATTTTTCCAAAATACCAGGTAAAATGTAATGCACGTGCATGTTTATTGCAAATCTTTAAAGTGCCAATTTTGACTGAGAAATGTACACAAAAACATGTATAAAAGCAAATAAAATCTGTAACTTTTTCACCATAATTAAAATTGCTGTAATACATTACACACTTGGCCTAATAGAGTAACATCTGGGTGTTTTTTGTACTATCAAGGAATGCTTGCTTCTCTTGGACACACATGGACATGTTGACTGGAAATAATTGACCCATGGCAAATTATGGTGTGCTCAGCTGGGCAATTTACGAAGTGTCCAATTATCTCCAGAGTAACCCAGATTTCTCACAATTACTTCTGCTGTGGTTACCTAGGCTTTAGTTTACTTCTGCATTCTGTTCAGTATACCTTGACATTACTGAAGATTAAGCTTTGCCTATGACTTGAGATGGCCTTTTCAAAGCCTCTGACCCTTCTTTGTTCATATATGTCACATCTAGTCTTCCTCTTATATAAATCAGGGGGTCAGAGTTAGTACTTCATAGCAAATCTTTGTACAATTCTATACATGTCTTTTAAAAACATCAGAAGTAAGACTCACAGTGTTTGGTGGGACTTAGTCATGGTTACCAGTGTGTCTACATACATGTCCATTGGTACCCAATATACTTTCTGCTGGTCCTACTTCATATTTTATTTCTTGATATATTTTTATTTTTAGGTAAAGATGAGAAGCAGTATTGATGAGTGAACCCTTCTAAGGTGATCTCAGTTCAATAACCTAAGAGTCAGCATGTATAAAGTCACATTGTACTGTTTGAATTAAGGTGGAAATTAAATGTCATTGTAATCAAGTTTTTTGTTTATAAAAACATTTCAGGAAGCTGTGATAAGTCTAGGAAGCTGTGCATTTTATTTGATACTTGCATTTGGTGTCAAATAAATATGCATTTGAAGGTGACACCTGTTGTAAGTGAACCTCAGTACACAAGTAAGCATCAGAGGAGGGCAGGCCTAGGTACAGAATATACATAGGCATGTTCTGTGTAACACTGCTTCTCTCTCTTACAGGTATAAAGTTGTTTTATAAAGTGCAAGGACTTACACATGATGGAAGAGTGGAATGTGTTGAAATTATGAAAAATGGTTGCTTATTAGGAGTCTTACCAGGTGGAGCCCGAGAAGCACTCTTTAGTGACGAGAATTATGGTCTCTTATGGGGTAACCGCACAGGCTTTGCACATGTGGCCAGAGATGCAAAAGTGGTGAGTGACCATGTGCTGTACATTTAAAGGTTTTGGTGGTGAGCTCTAAGGAAATGTATTTGCAGCAGATTAGTAATAATTCTTTTTATAAGATACATTAAGATTGAACCATGTAGCCAGGTATGAGGAGGGGAAAAATCTAAAGGTTATTTGGCTTTGTTGTACAATGGGAACTCATCTGCTGGACAGCTCCACTTAAAACTGCCCACAGTAGAGATTATGCAATCTTTATGTGGAACAGTAATCAGACGGGCATAAACTAACATTGTGTGAGTGGACATCTGCTTGCACAGTAGAACTTTCTCTTTCGTCCCCCAAAAATCTGCTCCAAAGTGCTCTCTAACTCTGCTGCAGATTTTAAGTGTGGAATGCTAATGCTAACTGTGGTGTGTTGAAAATTGAAGGGTGAGCTTCTGATTTCCTTAAGGATATGCCAGAAGGGAGCAGAGTCTGTAAGATCCCCAGATTCATCTGCATAATGACTGGTTTATTATGACATCTGAATGTAGTGATGTTCCAATTTTTAATGAAATTGGAATATTGATGATGAAAGTAACAGGTTTTATTCATATCCATGCTGGTTTTAACTGAATGGTTTCTGCCATAAAGGAACAATGTACTCTTTGTGCATGGCTTTAACATCCATGATGCAGCATCCTCTTTATTAATGGATGATATTGTGAAAGTAATGCAGGGTCTTTAAACAGAGGAGGTTGGAATACTTTCTTAATTGTTGCTACCTTTTTCCCACCTTTCTTAGCCTGTCATCCCTATATTTACAAAAAATCTACGGGAAGGATACAGAACCCTTGGAAAAATATGTAAGATGGATTCCACATGCATTTTGGCATATGCTTACATACTCATACTAAACAATGATTGCAGTTGGACTGCTGTAAAATTGTGTTTAGACTTTTGGTCCTAGAATATTTGTGTTGTTTCAAACTTCCTGCTTTCATGCATCTTTGTACTATTTCTTCAATGTATCTCTCTGCTTTGGACTTTTACCATGCTGTCATATCCTGGTTTTCTTTTCTCTGTCTATGTTCCCCTGTCTTTTTGCATGAGTCTTCCTTTTCAACATTTTTGAATTTAGGTGTCCAGTTTTGCTTGAACCTTGGCCAGTTGATGCAAATTTACTTGGGCTGCAGCCTAGCACACCTTTGCCCACTGAAATCAACTTAAACATGTATGCACTGTGTATTAGATTGAGGTCCTGGTATTTATTGTGCATGACAATCTGGACATATGGTTTTGCACAATTATGTGTCAACTGCATGGCCTCTGTTCATTTAACATCCAAGTGTCTCATTCATGAGCCTGTCCAGCAACACAATGTATAAAAACATGAGCATATTTTACATTTTACACTCAGGGCCATTCAAGTGGCTATATGAACGTACCAGATGGCCGATTGTTCCTGTATATGGAGGATTCCCAGTCAAATTTTGCTCATATGTAGGAGATCCTATTCCTCATGATCCAAATATAACAGCTGAAGAACTAGCTGAAAAGGCAAGCTTGGTGTACTTTTGAAACCTATATTCTAAATTATAGTGCTTGTGTGCAATATACTACTTTTAATAAGAGGATGAACAAAGTTCTATTCTCTCTTGCTCCTGTTTTTGGGTGATAAAACTTTACTTGAGATGACCTGTCATGTTTGAATTGCTTGTGCAGAGCTGCAATGCTATTTAAATTCCTATGTACACATGCTGAGAGCTCACAGTCAAGTCTTAGTGGAAAGGAAATATAGGGAGTCCTTGCTTGGAGACAAATACAACTGAAGTGGAGAGAGGCATGTTTGGGGTTATTAATTCAACTTGATAAATGAGGCCAGAAAATATACCATTTTACAAAATAGCTTTGCTTACCTAATGCTGATGGCACATGAATTGAGTGCTCCCTTCTCCTTTCTGCCATCCTGTTTGATTTCTAAGCTGGTTGCATTGTTCACTTCCAGCAACGAAATGCAAAGGGCCAGTGGTAAAACCACTGATCTCTTTGCCACGAGCCCACAATGTTTGGAGCTAGGTCTGGGGGAGGTGAAGCCCCATCCTGTGTGATGCTTAGAAGCCAAACAGAAGCACAGAACAGCCCATACCAGCTACAAGCAGGTCACTGCATTTCCCTGCTGGACATGGTTGGGTGGCATACAAATGTTTTGAATGAATGAATGAATGAATGAATGAATAAATGTCATGAAACATTTCCTTGTCTGTGTAGCATCAAAATGTACCAGAGCAGCAGCGAATAAAAGAGCATAAGCAGAGCCTTGCTGGGTCAGACCAGCTATGTGAAAAATGCCCCTTTTTTCCTTGCTGAGGCTTTGGCCTGGTACTCCTTTGGTACAGAAATATGGTAGGCTGAGAGTGGAAGGAAGGAACTTGCCTTCTGGATCCCTGAGCTGACATGAAAACCCTGGCTGCCCTGTATGGAAGTGTAGAGGGCTTTGGAAGGAGGGAAGAAGCTCTCCCCTGTCTTGGTGGCTTGCCCAGTTGCTTTCTGTGTTGTGTCAAAAAGAAGGAGCATCCCCTTTGCCTAACCTACAATGCAAGAGCCAAGTGTCCATTGCCAACCCACCTGCTCACCTGAGTGGTCATCGTATATCACACTGACTTCTTCATGCAGCAAGATTTATCCTTCAGTCCTATACCCACTTTCCATCTGAGTAAACTTGTATGGGTTTGTACTGTCTGCTAAGCTGGGCAAATGTTTGCAGCTCAAAGCGGTACCTTGTCCCTTGTAAGTGAGACTGAACTCTTCATTCAGCTTGCCATGCCTCTGATGCTGCAGTTCACCAAAAAGAGGCGTGAGGGCACCACTGCAAAACTCTTTGAATCACAAAGGCCTGCTGCTGCCCCCTTCTGGTGATAGCCATCTTGTGGAACAGCAATTACAGCTTAAAAGCAGTGGTGGTGATGGTGGTGGGGATATTACATTTCTGTAGTGCCCAATAGCCAAAGTTATCAGATAGTAAAGAAAAATAGTGACAGTAAGTCAATTCTAAGCTGTTGTAGCTTCTTTTGATCCTAAATATGTCTATTCTAAGTCAGTGTAGCAGTTTGCTGCCAACTTGGATGGCCAAGTGCAATTTCTTTGCCCTCCCCCCCACCACACCCATTTGTCCTGAAAGAATAAACATACATAGGGACAACTGTGGATGCCAGGACATCACACTGGAAGACAGTGGCAGCCACATGTGGCCCATGGGAGGTGTGTTACTCACCCTGGCATAGAGGTAAGCGGTGAGCTGTCATTTTGTACCATCTCCATGAGCCTGCTGAGAATCTTGTATGTTCCTGTATCAGTGCAGTGGCTCATAGAATGAGGCAATACCTTGGTTAGCTTTTTAAGAAGTGATTAAGATGAAATGAAAAGGGACTATGTGGGGGGGGTATAGTTGCCAAATGAGCAATTCAAATTACTTCAATATTTGCTTCAGCCCCAGTTCCAAACTTCTGGTGATATTGAAAATGTCTAATACAAATGTTGCTCAGATACCCTGCTGGGGCAATGCAAACGGTTTATAAAAATATTCTTTTCTGTTTTGTTGTTCTCTTTTTCAGATAAAGACTGCAATAAAAGAGCTCAGAGATAAACACCAAAAAATACCAGGAAGCATACAAAGAGCTCTATTGGAACGGTTTCATAAATATCCAAAGGACAATTAATGGGATACCTCTTTACAAAATTAGGCAGTTTTCCTCTAAAACTTCAGTGGTTGTTTTTGTTTTAGTTTGCTTTTGAGAAATCATCACTCAATAGGTTACAAATTCAGCACACCTATATCAAAGCCATAGATGGAGTACCCTTCACTTGTTTATCTCAGCAAGTTTGGATGTGTGGGGCTACAACTCTTCTGCAGGCTAGTTGAAGAAGAACCTGTATTTGCTGATTTGGACTTTTTCAGACAAATCATATCCAGAGATGACCAGCTTTTTTTCATGTGTTCACAGCATTTTAATAGCTTTGACAAATTTAGTATCTTGAAATTTTTGCTTGAATCCCTAATTCTCTGACAACTCCAGAGTAAGTGATGTTAATAATGTGCAACCTTTTAAAAAAGTTTTATATAATGATGATCTAATTAGAAAGCTCTTGTAGTGAACCTCCTAATCATTCCTATTCCAAGGCAGAAACAAAAATGTTACCAAACTCTTTACAAAGAACTACATCCCATCTGTCTGAAATATATAAAGTTGACACAGTAATTTCAGGATTAATTATACTGTTCTGTCTTAATTAGAACTGTTCTGTAGTTATGATTCTTCGTTCCATAACTAATGGTCTTTTGTTTATGTCAATTTTCCTCTGGTGATAAGCAATATTGCTCATGTGTGGTATTGTAGGAATGGCATCTTTCATTCCTGAGTAAAGTGCTCAAGAGAATTGTTGCTGGCCAACCAGGCACTGTTGGATATAACTGATTTTCTAGATCAAATGCAGTCAGAGATGAAGGCTGACTTAACCCTGAAGTTCAGGGTCTTGAAGTGAGGACTTTTGATGGGAGAAAGATGGCTGTGTGTGCATTTTATTCTTCTTGATTTCCCTGAAGCTTTCAGTAGCAGTGAGCATGGTTGTCTTCTGGAGAGGTTGTCCAAATCAGAGATGGCCAGTTCTTTTAGTTATGCTTATACCTGGATGGCAAATCTTGAAGCTGGCATTGAGAAATCTGTACTCAGTTCCATGGCGTTTATGTTCCAGTTTCCCTTTGCTTTATTCCCCCAAGGTGTTTTAGACTGGGCTCTTTTTATCCAAATAATCATCTCTTTCCACATGAGCACATCCATTCCATGAAGTTATCATATAAGGGTATTCCTGAAGTGCTGCTCCCCATGAGAGAAAGAGCCTCTAGGAGTGGCTCTTTGATGTGTAATGTCCTCCTCAGAGAGGCCTGGCTGGTGTCTAATGTATTTTTAGCCTCAAGCAAGCATCTTTTTGATTTCCCAGACATACTGTTATGCTTCTGTTATGGTTCTATACTGTTTTAGCTTTATGGACTTTATTCCTTTGCCTTCACATTTAAATTCTTTTAAGTGTTTATTTTTATGTATGATAAGCTGATTTATGATTTTTTAAAATAGAATTGTATTGGTTGTATTTTGTTGTTATTGGGGTTTTGTTTGTTTTAATTCCTATAAGATATGTATTCTATACTATGCATTTTTACATTTTTTGTGTTTTAATTCCTGTAAACTATCCAGAGAACTTCAGTTACTGGGCAGCATATATATTATATGTGTACATGAATAAAATAAATTCAGCTGGTGGATATTCAGTTTGTGCAATCATGTTCCAGCCAAACCGGATCTAAATCTGCTGTCCTAGACATACTTACATACCCATACCTTAATGTACATTAAAAAAACCTTGGTGGCTATGCCTATTTGTATATCTTATTATGGTGTCTGTTCCACTGTACAACAGCTCTTACCACTGATACTCTCCTACATTTTAGTGGCTTCCCTGCAATTTCCAACTATTGGTCCTAATCCTGATCTGCAGAGCAACAGAGAACTCAGCACTGTTTCATCTTCTGCATGACAACCCTTAAGATAATCAAGGGTTCTATTGTGTCTCCATTTTAAACTTTGTACTAGGCAAACAGTGCCCAATTCTTTAAGCTTTTCCTCATCTCCTCCACTTTCCATTTTGTCAATAATTACATTAAAGTATGTGTTTTTAATGCAAGACCAGTAAACTGGTAAATGACACCGGGAATTGGGTATCTCTGGTAATTTCTTCTTTCTGGTGAAGTAATCACCTTACTTCAGCATAATGCAGGCTACTGTAACAGCTCTCCCAGATCAGTCTTCACCTGCTCATGCTGAAAACACCCACACAGAGTGCTGGCAAGGAGCCAAGTCTGATTAACAAGTTAATATTGAGGGTGGCTTGCTTCTGGCTGAAGCTGATGTGGGAGAATCAGCTGTGGAAGGAATTGCACCATAGCAATTGGAGGAAGGCAAAAGCACAGACAAGATATGAGTGGGAACATGCTATTATACTTTATTTCCACCCAATAGCAAAAGTGCTCTGGGCAGTTTACTGCAACCCATAAAAACAATAGAATTATACCATAAAGTCATTTCAAAATACAAAAAATAAAGAACAAAATTTTAAACTATAAAATAGGATGGGTTATTCCGTCAATCCCTTGAATATCCATGTATATTTTAAAGGTCTCAGCATAAAGGGCCATCTTAACCTGGTGCTGAAAAAATTGAAAAGGCTGGTGCCTGTTGGGCCTTACTGGGGAAGTCAGAGAGCCAATGTGGTGTAGCGGTTAAGAGCATGGGACTGGGACTCTGACGATCTGGATTCTAGTCCCTGCTCAGCCATGAAGCCAACTGGGTGACTTTGGGCCAGTCACAGACTCTCAGCCCAACCTACCTCACAGGGTTGTTGTTGTGGGGATAAGATGGAGGAGCTGTAAGCTGCCTTGAGCCCTTTGTAGGAAAAAGGCAGGATATGAATCGAAAAATAAATAAATAAATTCCAAAGACTGGAAGCCAGAACTGAGAAAGTCATTCCCCTTGTTGCTGCCCTTTGAACCTCCCCTGGAGTTGGCACTTGGAAGAAAGTCCCATGTATTGAGTGTACTGACCAAGTAGATGGCGGCTGGGAGAGGTACTCCATCAAGTATTGTGAGGTTAAAATCATCCCACTTGTGGATTTCCCACAGGCAGCTCATTGGCACTGTGGTGTTTTCAGTAGCTCCAATATGTTTACAGCTACTACAGGTGGTAGGTTTGTACAACAAATGTGTTTAATAAGTCTCGATTAAATACATGAAATAGAAGCTAAAAGAAAATATGTTCTGTTTACAATATTACTTACTGTGCCTGGACTAAATCACATGCATTACATGTGTGTGTTGAGCTTGCAAAAACAGGAAAAGATAGGAGGGAGAAGAACTTTCATTTTCAAGGGTAATGCACCAAATTACATTCTAATTTTGAAACTTAAGAAATCTTGGTCCTTCACTTCTTTCACTTAAATGCTTGGTATTTTTTTGTCAGATTTGTTTACATCATGTTTGTGTTTCACTGCTCCTTGCTTTCCTGTGAGCAGGTCCTTGCCTATGAAGTGCCAGCACTAGAATTTCAAATATACTGATATGTGTCAAATATGACGTTAATAGAACTGGTCTCCTGTAAGAGTCTATGTGGTACTAGCAAGTATAACAACGTACTTGGTGACCACCTACTGAACATCTATGCACATGCTAAAACAGTTCAGCATTATAATCAAGTGTAACTACCACTATTCATTGTCTTTTCCAAACAACTGGGATTTTTGCCCATTTTTTCTTGTAAGAAATTTTATTAAGATTTTAAAACTAATTCTACAAACATCAGTCGTCGCACACACCGGATTTACTGGGTCAACCCCCTACTACATATCTTTTAACATTCTATGATCATACTAAAATCCATTTATAATAACTTGAAAACAACTTTAGATCAGAACCAAGTCCCATTTGTCCAGCCAAAAAAAAAAAAGTAATTCCAGATTTGATAGAAGTCACTATCTTCCTCTTCTTCATCAGTGAAATCAGTCTCATCATTTCTTGCAAAATCCTGTTTCTCTTGACCAATGTCAAAGGGAAGCATCTCCAAGTTAAATAAGATTGCAGTATCTTCTTTCTTCTTCAGTGATAAGTTCGATCTAAACATTTCTGGACAATTCAAGATCTTTTCAATTTTCTAATAATAAATAACTTCCTCACTACCACAGTTATAAGTAACATCAAAAATATCCATTTAACATCTCTACAATTAACTACTCTACTTGGTGATAACTAATACTTATATCTTTTAAAACAATTTTCTTTAAGCTAAATTACTAATGTTTCATCTAACTTAAACACCATTTAATCAAATATGGTTAACTCCATATAAAAACCCAGCTGTTTACAGTCTTTAACATATATCACCAACAGCAATAGCTTAACCTTCCCATATCACATAAAGACTTGCCAACCCATTTAAATCATTGCTTTTTAAAATAAGTTCTCTTATTTTCAGTTACAGATACAGTCAGAAATATCCATTTAACAATAATACCTTTTAGACAGAATTTCATTAAGCTAAGTTACTAATGTTTCACTAGCAATAATAGCCTAGCCTTCCTACGTCACATGTGAGCATGCCAACCTATATGAATCACCCCTTTTTGGAATAAAAAGAAAGAAAGTTCCCTTATCTTCCCTTTGCACCTCTGCCATATTTATTTTTTCTTTTTCTTTATCCCTCTACCAGACCTTTCTGTTTTTTTTTTTCCCCCCATTAAAACATTGTAATATCTGTAATGGAGTCTTCAGTTGCAGCCACATAAACAAAACCTCTCTTAAGTGATTAGCTAATTTCTCCTTCTCTAACATAACACGCAGATCCCATGAAAACTTGCTTATTAAATTCACTGAGTGTGTTAAACCATGTCCAATTCTTCCTTTCTTGTTTACATTAAGATGTTGTGGTGTCAGCAATAAATAATGTGTCTTGAGTTGTAACCAAGCTATTTTCTCTTTCTCCAGCATAACACGCAGATCCCATGAAGGCTTACTTATTGAGTTCACTAGTTGTGTTAATTTTCCCATTACGCTTGTTGTCTTTCCAGTTTCAGATTTTCCTTCTGCTTGCTGGACATTTTGCATATTCTGTTCAGGTACAAATCGCTTGCCCAAAGCATGATTAACAGAAGTGTCTAATTTATCAAAGCGGCTTTTTTGTTCAATGAAAAAACCATCAAGTTGCTCTAAAACAATCTTCTGTTTTATTATCGCCTGCTGAGATAGTTGCACAGCTGTTAAAGAAGTCTGTATTGCCAAGAGTGTCTTCTGTATTTCTTCCATAGTAGCAGTAATTACCAAGGTTTGGCAGGTGTCCAGAGGTCCCAGGAAGAAAGAGAAATATGGCCGTTAGCTCTTGGCAGTAGTCCAACATAGACGAATACAAGAAGAATCCTTCTATCATTCAATTCCACAGTAAATAATTTATTTTGATTTTTTGCCCTTGGAGAGATTAAGGAAGATAAATCTTTTCCTTACTTACAAAGAGCTCTGTCTCTCTCTTCTTATGTAATTCGCCGCTTTTCAACTCGGGGGGGGGGGGAGATTCCTTTCCTCCTCCATCCGAAGGGCTTTTTCTTTTTCCTTTGTATCAATTAGCAAGGAATGCAGCTTATTCCACAGGCATCATTACAAAAAAAGAAAAATAATTCCCAATAAATCCGATGTGCTTATAGTAGCTAAAACTAAACTAAAAAAACCCGATATGTCAAGAGCTTGTAGAGGGCTTCCTCCCTCCTGTGCTACCTGGCTGAGAAAGGCTTGATTTCCTCCCAGTGAATGTGGAATTGCCATTCCACATCATCTAGGAGATTCGCCAAGCAATCTATCTTAGCCCCGACAGGGCTTAGATTGAGCCCCCACGGCCCACCACTGGGCAGTTACCAGCGTGATAACGGAGGTTCGTTAATCACGTCTGTATTGCTCCGATGCCATACCGGAAGTGCCCATTTTTTCTGAAAGAAACAGTTAAGGTACTGAAGCCATGTCAGGAATATAGAACTTCTAACAAAAGGTGGACTTTCATACAATGAATTTTTTTCATAATTTTACAGAGTAGTTCACAGCTCCCAAAGTGACTTAGCAAGAGTTTTCCAGGGCAGAAAAGGATCTAATAAGTAGAACTTCCGGTATGGCATCAGGACGGGACGGCTGTGATTATCGGAGCTCCCATTATCACACCAGTATTTGTTCAGCAGTGAGCTGAGCCGTGGGAGGCTCATCTAAGCCCTGTCAGGCCGAAGATAGATTGCCTGGGGACTCTTCTGGTCGGTGTGGGGCAGCAACTCCACATCCACTGGGAGAAATTAAGGCATTTCTCAACTGGGCAATACAGGGGAGAATTTAGCTCCCTCATGTCCTCGACATCCGGAAAAATAGCTTAGGAATATTAGCTAGAAATCCATCGGACCTATTGGAGTAAGCATCTTTATTCTTTATTTTCCCCCCCGCAATACTACCCATGGAAAAGCTGCATCTGTCGCTAATTGACATAAAAAAGAAAAGCCCTTCGGATGGAGGGAGGAATTCCCCCCCCCATGGAGTTTTAAGCGGCGACTGAATGGGAGAGAGAGATTGAGGTTTGTGCAAGTTGGAGCTGAAGAAAAGGTTTTTTCCTCTAATCTCTCCAAGGGCGAAGAATCAAAATAAATAATTACTGTGGAATTGAGTGATAAAAGGATAAAACTTAGAGCAACCATTTTGGATATCTCTTTTTTGTCTGTTTGGACTCTTGCCAAGACCAAGTGGACATTTGCCAAGATAACTTTCACATTGAGTGGTGTTTTCCTCTCTACTGTGACAATTTTTTAAGAATCAGAATAAATAATTACTGTGGTATAACGTGATAGAAGATAAAGCTTACCCCTGACCACTTTTTTTTTCTTTTCTTTGGACTTTTCCCAAAGTAATTGGATCTCTGCCAAAGCAATCCTTATAATGAACTGCATCATTTTTATTGCTAAAGATGGAAGAATTACAGAAGACGTTTCTGGCAATGCAGACATTCTTAACAGCTCTGCAAATATCCCAGGAGAAGATATTAATACAACAAGAGAACATCTTAATTGAACAAAAAGAACATTTTGACAAATTGGAGAATTCTATTAGCGAGATTTTGGGCACACAAATTAAATTTGAACAGAATATACGAAAAACGTAACAAGCAGATGGAAAATTTGAAACAGTGGATAAAGAAATACAATTAGTAAAGCCAATAGGTAAGCTATCATGGGACATGTTTGTTATGTTGGAGAGGGAGAAGATAGCTAAGTACTCCAGAGAGACTATGTTTACGTGGCTATCAACAGAAGGAATACGGTTTACTGGGAACGTTACAAGATACAAAGTGGACTCGATTTTTAAGGCACAAGTGCTGTATGAAAGACTTAGAGCTATGTTCAAAGAGAAAAAACATTGAAAATGTATATTGATCTACTACAGGCACTACAGCGATTCAAAACAAATGAAGAAAGATGGGGTAGAGATGTAAAGAAGAAATAAGAACTTTTTATCTTGAACAGGACTGATTTAAAAGGGTTGGCATGCTTATAGGTGATAAAGAAAGGCAAAGTTACATGATTCTTTTGTTCTTAAGTTACTATACTAGAAAATTATTATTGTTGGTGTAGGAAAAGCTGTACTAAGATGATTTTCTTTCTTTCTTTCCTTCTTTCTTTTCTTTTTTCTTTTTCTTCATTTCTCTCTTCTTTTCTACCTATGGAAGCTTCTTTGTATTTAAATGC